CCAATGCTATCAAAATTAACAAATGTCTCCTTTTTAGCAATGGGACCCATGATTTTTTTAAGTGAAAGAAACAAAATACCTCTAATTAAAACAAAAAAAAGTCAAGGGTTAAAAAAGTTGATGTTTTCGGGCGCGAGTTTCCCTTCTACATTTTTATGATATTTCTTTTAGTTATAGAGTACATTTATCTTCTTCTTTTTCTCTTCTTTTCTGGTTGGGGACACTTGAGCACTGCACACAGAACCACAACAGGACATTGAAATCCCTAATCTCCAACTACTAATACAGATTTAAGCATTACTATAAACAAAAAATCAGGAGTTAGCATAATTTTAGTTTGCATCTTTAAACTTCCAACCCATAACCTTACACAAAAAAATATTTAAAGATGTTCAAGCTTTTTTTTTTTCAAATGAAAAGGGACAGCTGAGTAGGTACTAAAGGCCTAGGATTACATTGCAGGGGATATCAAACCTGTGACCTTCCTTTTAGAAAAGGGTTTTCATATGCCACTAGAATACAACACTATTATTTTAAAAATGTTCAAACTTTGTGTTTGATCAACTGAAGCTGTGGATACCATTTAGACTACTAGAGATAGACATTATGTTAAGGCTAAGCTTGACCCATTTGGTAGAAGTTCATGGAGGGTGGTAGTTTTTTCCAAAACAATTAATTGGAAAAAAATTAGGCATTTCTAATTAATTGTCATCCACTTCATATGAATCTATTTAGCATACTTGAGAGTTTATTATATTCCATTCCAATTATGTGGGACCCAATAGACTAGTTTTGTATTTTATTATGCCCTTCTCACACATTACGTTTATGTCCATTGCCTTAATTTGGATGTTTTCCAAAGACTTTTGACTCTAATGTGTGCCCGTCTTACACGTCTTTAATAATGAGTTTGCTTTTTTTGAATTTTCATAGGACCTCTATACGTATTGTGGTGTTCATCTCACGTTTAGCAATCTCTCATCCATTTTTACCGTACAGACTTTAATATTGACGAAGACCATTAACAATGATATTCTTTTTTTTATTCTTCTTTGATTTTTCAAAAAGAAGGGAGAAAACCTCTACTATCTATTACAATTATTACCGTCATCTATTCTCATAGATTATATACGTGCAAAGTTTAAAAAAAACAGTTTGTTAAATAGATTAAATCCGTGTGGAGAGAAAAACTGGTTTCCATAGTGTTTATATTTTTTTTTGGGTTAAGGGTCAAAAATATATATAAAAATATACTAAAACTCCACCCAACATTGTGAATTTTTTTTGGTTCAAATTGACTAATTCAAATTTTAAAAAAGCTCAATAATGCCAATGCTATCAAAATTAACAAACATCCCTTTTTTAGCAATGGGACCAATGATTTTTTTTAGTGAAAGTATCAAAATACCCCTAATTAAACCAAAAAAAAGTCAAGGGTCAAAAATACTCATAAACTTCATCAAACACCATATGATTTTTAATAAAAATACCAAAATACCACCAATTTCGAAAGGTTATTGCATTAGAGTGTATTAGAGATTATTAAGTATAATAAATTTTTATATCACCAATCTTTATCATTAAAAAAGATTATTAATCTTTTTCAATAAATTTTTTATTAGCCAATTTTTTTCAATAAAAACTAGCCTATTGTTATAGTTATCCTATTCATTTATGGCTGAAAATATTCTAATAGCATAAATATTATACATAATAATTAAATATTTTTGTAACTACTAAAAATAGCCTTAAATTTTCTCAAAGAATTTAAACATAAACATAAAAGAAATTTCAGGTTGACTGTTAAATTTAATAACATAGACTAGAGAATAAACATACAACTCCATGTATCGTTGATATAAGTAACTTATTTTCAAAAGATATCCATAATGTCTACTCAAAAAAAAAGATTGGGGATATAAATAACTTAACATTGTAGAGCAATGCAATTCAAGCTTAAACTTTTTCATATTAGTTATTTTAATTATAAAAATTTTGTTATAATTAATAATCTTTAACACACTCTAATACAATAGCCCTTCGAGATTGGGTGTATTTTGATACTTTTATAAATATTATATGGTGTTTGGTCAACTTTGAGTATAAGTTCATTTAACTCTTAATTTTTTTCCATTTTAATTGAGGGTATTTTAGTATTTTTATTTTAAAAATATGGGTCCCACAACCAAAAAAACAGATGTTTGTTAATTTTAATGACGCTGACATTATTAATCTCTTTTTTAAACTTGGATTGGTAGACTTGATCACAAAGAAAGTTCATAGTGTTAAGTAAAGTTTGGGTATATTTTCATAAGTGTTTTTAACCTTTAACCCCATTTTTATGATAAAAAAATGTACATATTTTGAGTAAAACAAAAGTGTGATAAATAATATCTAAAAGTCATTTTACAATTTATGATGTGAATAATTTAAATATGATGATCATAATACTAATAAATGCCCTATTAGTTAGTAACCAGAGTGAATAATGAAGTGCGCATAACTTTCATTGCAAAAGAGAAATAGAGATCACATAACAATACAAAAGAGTAATAAGTCTTTGAACTCTGTCATTTCAATATTTCTCCATGTAAAGACTCTAAGACTGCACTCATTTTGTGAACATCACTTTGTGGAAGGAAATTAAATAAAAGATAGGCGTCATAGTGGCATTTTTATTAAGCTTTTCCGTAACAAAATTAAAATTTGTTCTTAAAACAAACAAAAAATCAAAACATTTTTTTTTATTTTTCTGCCTTTTGTTTTACAAAATTAGGGAAGAGACGCAGAATATTATATTTCTATTAATTATATCAGGTTAATAAAACAAACTAGTTTTGACCCTTCATTTCACCATTTTACGTATGGTTTTTGAAATAATGATTCTAACATTTTTTTATATTTATTTTTGGTATTCAAAACTTATTCTAAAAGGTAGTTGTAAAAACATAAAAGTTGAGTATAAAATCAAGCAAGCTTTTATTTTCTTTACTTTTTGTTTTTTTATTTTTAATAGTCAAAGTTAGTTAACACGTTTCTTTATATGTCACTTAGAAGTCATAATTTTTTTTTAAGAAAAATAAATTTATGCTTCTATAAAGATTCAGCCTTTGCACTCACTTGGTGATCACGTTGCATGAATCAGTGGCATTCTCCAAAATTATGTTGACTACTCCAACAATAAGCACTGTGATAGTAATAGTGATTTTATGATTATGCCCTGTCATTATTTTCTTCAATAATATGGCCACCTCCATGATAGCAGAGGAAAAACATGCTCTGTTTCAAAGCAACTAGTGGTGAGAAAAGGTATATTTCCATGATTTGATTTGTCCTTCAAAATATAATCCTAAAATTTAAAAATAATGGGTTCTTTAATTCGAAGTTCCATCAAACCACCATGCTATGGTGTTCATCATCTCATGTTTGGCAATTTCATGCCCATTTTCACTATAATAACTCCAAAGACTAAAGACTTTAATATTGACTAAGACCATTAATTAACAACTGAGGCAATCTCACATGATATGATTAGTCCATTTGCCATTGGACCTACACACTCCAACGACTTTGACATGCAGAAGGGAGATTCAATAATATTGCTCTATATATAAAGACTCTGTGGATGCACTCATTTCATGATCGCTTTGTGTAGATAAAGGAACTAAAGATGGGTGCGATGAAAGTGGTATTTTTATTATGCTTTGTTGTAATAACTTGCTTCCATATTAATGGTGTAGCATCAGTTGCCATGATAGAAGAGGAGAAACGTGCTCTGCTTCAGACCAAATGGTGGAATTTCAACAACAGTGTCCACAACTTGTCAGACCCTTGTCACTGGGAAGGCATATCTTGCAATGATTTTGGAAGCCTTATTGACATGAATTATCAACTAATGACTACACAATACCATCATCTAGCATATTTCAATTTCACTGCATTTTCCAATCTAGAACGTCTCATATTTTTTGGAATGGGTTTGATGGATACCATTCCAAGCCAGATAGGATCTCTTCATAAACTTATCCTTCTAAACTTATCTTTTAACAATCTTACTGGTGAGTTGTATCTTCTACTTCTACTCTTACAATCCAAATTCAATTAATTCAAAAATATTGTATTTACTACCACACAACCTAATACTTCTATTGACAAGGATTATTCCATCACAAATAGAAGCTCTTCAAAATCTTACTTATTTAGACTTGTCTTCTAATAGTCTTACTGTTGAGTTAGATATCTTTCATTTGTACTCTTGCAAATTCATTCAATTTTGAAATATTATATTTATTTCCACACAACCTAATACTTTTATTGATAGAGATCATTCCATCACATATAGGATCTCTTCATAATTTGATTCATTTATACTTACCTTCTAATAATCTTACTTATGAGTTATATATCTTCCATTTCTACTATTATCTTGCAAATTCATTAAATTTTGAGATATTTTATTTACCTCCACACAACCTAATACCTCTATTGACAGGGATCATTCAATCACAGATAAGATCTCTTTATAGTCTGATTGAACTATACTTGCCTTATGATAGTCTTACTGTTGAGTTATATATCTTCCATTTCTACTCTTAGCTTGTAAATTCACAAAATTTTGCAATATTGTATTTACCTCTACACAACCTAATACCTCTATTGACAGGGTTTATTCCATCCCAAATAGGAGCTCTTCAAAATCTCACTAATTTAAACTTGGCTTTTAATAATCTTACTGGTGAGTTATGTATCTTCCATTTCTACTCTTGTAAATTCACTCAATTTGGAAATATTGTATTTATCTCCATGTAACCTAATACTTTTATTGACAGGGATCATTGCATCACAGATAGGATCTCTTCATAATCTGATTCATCTATACTTATCTTCTAACTATCTTTCTTATGAGTTATATATCTTCCATTTCTACTCTTACCTCGTAAATTCATTCAATTTGAAAATATTATATTTACCCCTACACAACCTAATACCTCTATTGATAGGGATTATTCCATCCCAAATAGGAGCTCTTCAAAATCTCACTTATTTGGACTTGTCTTACAACAATCTTACTGGTGAGTTATGTATCTTCCATTTTTACTCTAGCAAATTCACTAAATTTTGAAATATTGCATTTATCTCCCCACAACCTAATACCTCTATTGACAGGGATTATTCCTTCACAAACAGAAGCTCTTCAAAGTCTCGTTCATCTGGATTTGTCTTCTAACAGTCTTACTGGTAAGTTATATATCTTCCATTTTTATTCTGGCAAATTCACTAAATTTTGAAATATTGCATTTATCTCCCCACAACCTAATACCTCTATTGACAGGGATTATTCCTTCACAAATAGGAGCTCTTCAAAGTCTCGTTCATCTAGATTTGTCTTCTAACAGTCTTACTGGTAAGTTATATATCTTCCATTTCTACTCTTACCTTGTGAATTCACTAAATTTTGGAATATTGTATTTATCTCCCTACAACCTAATACCTCTATTGACAAGGATTATTCCATCACAGATAGGATCTCTCCATAGTCTAACTGAACTATACTTGCCTTATAACAATCTTACTAGTCAGTTATATATCTTCCATTTCTGCTCTTAGCTTGCAAATTTAGTTCAGTTATATATCTTCCATTTCTGCTCTTAGCTTGCAAATTCACTAAATTTCCAATATTGCATTTACCTCCACACAACCTAATACCTCTATTGAGAGGGATTATTCCATCACAAATAGGAGCTCTTCAAAATCTCATTATTTTTTACTTGTCTTCTAATAGTCTCACTAGTGAGTTATTTATCTTGCATTTCTACTCTTACGAATTCACTCAATCTGGAAATATTATATTTATCTCCACACAACCTAATACTTTTATTGATAGGAATCATTCCATCACAGATAGGATCTCTTTATAATCTGATTCATCTATACTTATCTTTTAACTATCTTACTTATGAGTTATATATCTTCCATTTTTGCTCTTAGCTTGCAAATTCACTAAATTTTGATATATTGTATTTACCTCCACACAACCCAATACCTCTATTGACAGGGATTCTTCCATTCCAAATAGGAGCTCTTTAAAATCTCACTTATTTGGACCTGTCTTGCAACAATCTTACTGGTGAGTTATGTATCTTCCATTTTTACTCTAGCAAATTCACTAAATTTTGAAATATTGCATTTATCTCCCCACAACCTAATACCTCTATTGACAGGGATTATTCCTTCACAAACAGAAGCTCTTCAAAGTCTCGTTCATCTGGATTTGTCTTCTAACAGTCTTACTGGTAAGTTATATATCTTCCATTTTTATTCTGGCAAATTCACTAAATTTTGAAATATTGCATTTATCTCCCCACAACCTAATACCTCTATTGACAGGGATTATTCCTTCACAAATAGGAGCTCTTCAAAGTCTCGTTCATCTAGATTTGTCTTCTAACAGTCTTACTGGTGAGTTATATATCTTCCATTTCTACTCTTACCTTGTGAATTCACTAAATTTTGGAATATTGTATTTATCTCCCTACAACCTAATACCTCTATTGACAAGGATTATTCCATCACAGATAGGATCTCTCCATAGTCTAACTGAACTATACTTGCCTTATAACAATCTTACTAGTCAGTTATATATCTTCCATTTCTGCTCTTAGCTTGCAAATTTAGTTCAGTTATATATCTTCCATTTCTGCTCTTAGCTTGCAAATTCACTAAATTTCCAAATATTGCATTTACCTCCACACAACCTAATACCTCTATTGAGAGGGATTATTCCATCACAAATAGGAGCTCTTCAAAATCTCATTATTTTTTACTTGTCTTCTAATAGTCTCACTAGTGAGTTATTTATCTTGCATTTCTACTCTTACGAATTCACTCAATTTAGAAATATTATATTTATCTCCACACAACCTAATACTTTTATTGATAGGAATCATTCCATCACAGATAGGATCTCTTTATAATCTGATTCATCTATACTTATCTTTTAACTATCTTACTTATGAGTTATATATCTTCCATTTTTGCTCTTAGCTTGCAAATTCACTAAATTTTGATATATTGTATTTACCTCCACACAACCCAATACCTCTATTGACAGGGATTCTTCCATTCCAAATAGGAGCTCTTTAAAATCTCACTTATTTGGACCTGTCTTGCAACAATCTTACTGGTGAGTTATGTATCTTCCATTTTTACTCTAGCAAATTCACTAAATTTTGAAATATTGCATTTATCTCTGTACAACCTAATACCTTTGTTGACAGGGAATATTTCATTACAAATAGGAGCTCTTCAAGGTCTCACTCATCTGTATTTGTCTTCTAACAGTCTTACTGGTGAGTTATATATCTTCCATTTCTACTCTCACCTTGCAAATTCACTAAATTTTGGAATATTGTATTTATCTCCCTAAAACCTAATACCTCTATTGATAGGGATCATTCCATCACAGATAGGATCTCTTCATAGTTTGATTGAACTATACTTGCCTTATAACAGTCTTACTGGTCAGTTATATGTCTTCCATTTCTGCTCTTAGCTTGTAAATTCACTAAATTTCCAAATATTGTATTTACCTCCACACAACTTAATACTTCTATTAACATGGATTATTCCATCACAAATAGGGGCTCTTCAAAATCTCATTATTTTTTACTTGTCTTCTAATAGTCTCACTGGTGAATTATATATCTTGCATTTGTACTCTTAGGAATTCACTCAATCTGGAAATATTGTATTTATCTCCATACAAACTAATACTTTTATTGACAAGGATCATTCCATCACAGATAGAATCTCTTTATAATCTGATTCATCTATGCTTATCTTTTAATTATCTTACTTATGAGTTATATATCTTCCATTTTTGCTCTTAGCTTGCAAATTTACTAGATTTTGATATATTGTATTTACCTCCACACAACCCAATACCTCTATTGACAGGGATTATTCCATTCCAAATAGGAGCTCTTCAAAATCTCACTTATTTGGACTTGCCTTGCAACTATCTTACTGGTGAGTTATGTATCTTCTATTTCTACTCTTACCTTGCAAATTCACTCAATTTGGAAATATTGTATTTGAAAAGACCTCTTCTTGATACGTAATTATAAAACCATTTTTTGATGATAACCATGATGGAAAAAAGAATTAAGTTAGAGTGCTAAAATATTGCCATGGTTATAAAGAGTTTGTTTGATTTTAAGAACATCCTAAGAGGCTCAATGTACATAAAACACTCATGAATTTAACAACACGTACAACAAGGACTCAGGGCGCAGTAACCGCCCATAAACCCAACACAAAAATTCACCCCACCAAGACTTAGGGTACAAGAAACACAGGGTGCTCAGCCCAACCCACAAGTCGTACACATAATAGTAACACATACGGCAGAGTCTTATGGCCTCTAACCATTCTAATAGCAGTCCATGAAATATTCTTAATGGTATGAAAAATTAAACTGTAAGTTTTGAAAATAGAGAGAAGACATTTTGCACTTTTAGCAAAGCTAATATAGGGGAAACGCATTTTGCTCTTATTATTTTTAAGATGAAAGCAAAATGCCTTCAATACTATCTCACTTTTTTTTTTAATATGCAAAATATAGTAAACAATTCTTAAATAATTCTTGAATATCATATATTACCTCCGGTTCTTAATATAAAAGCTAGACAAAGTAAAACCTCAATATACTTTGTTTGTAAAACTTGTAATTTTCTTCCCAAAATATTCTCATTGATTACACATATTAAGGAGTTCTATGAAGCAATAATTTCAAAGCACATTATGAGTAAGAATATTTTAGAAAAGTTAATACATATTTATTGTAAATAATTAATTTAACCAATTTTTTTAATATTATCAAATTAATTAATTATTTAGCTCTTATATGAGAATTAGGCAGTACATGATTTCAATTATATTGGAGTAAAAACAAATGGTAAGTCCCATAACGTGAAATTTGCGTTCAGCTTGATGCGGCCGTAAACATTACTTCCTCGAATTCCTTATAATCAGTAAGATGGAAAGTGGTCAAAATTGGCACCTTTCTACGAGGAAACAAGTCCATTGACTTAATCACTAACTCTCAATAGAGATGGGACCCGCAGAAGAAGAGTACCAACACAATGGATCCTTCATTAATGGCGCTGGCATCTTGAATACACTACTACAAATTGGGGAATACTTGACGCTAAATATTTGACGGTTATCATAAAAACCGTCAAATATAATCCCCCCGAATGTGGACTGAGGAAAAATAAAGTCAACAGTTAAATGAATGGTAAAATTGTATATTCATGTAAAATAAGACAAGGGGCGTATAAAAAACATTCATATAATTAAGCTGCAAGTATTCCTGGGCTACTAAAAACCGAACCGATGAAATCAAGACAAAGATTTAAGGGTAAGTGATTAAATTGAAATTAACCAATCATAGTTAAAATAATATAATATAATTAAAATATATAAAATATTTAAATATAATCACAGAAAGATTAATATTTAAAAGAAAAAAGTATTAATCCATAAAAAAATTGCTGAAAAGAAACCCCATTAAAATATTTATTGCAAAGGCGCTTAAGATTTGTTTGTGCGCCCAAGTTATTAAGTAGAAGCAACTCATATTCGGCTGCTCAGCAATGCGCAAATTGTCTTTCATTTTGAACATTTTTTGACGTAGTTGAGAAAAGACTTCACGCAGCTCAAAAAATTGCACCCGCTGAATAGGAGCTGTATACATCTTTTATAGGCAAACTGGAAAATATTTACACATATGAGGATTCATCGCACACCACTGAGAGAGAATTACATCCACCACAGATAAGTTGCAATAAACCCATATGTAAATAGGCATGCTCACTTGCATTTAACATTTAAATTATATGCAATAAATCATATGCAAATGAGCATGAATTACATATAATTTAGCAGTACCTGGAGTTACGTTCATAACCACATCATATCTATAATCACCAATAAATCCAGGGACCCACGCGTAAAGATTATAGTCACCAGGGCGTATATTGCTGATGGAGAAATATCCCTCATCGAAACTGATAAGTCTGATAACAAGTAAAATGCCATATTTGACTCATTGAAAGACAGATGGTGACGTTATAATGAAAATGAGATATCACTGACAGAAGAAAAGTTTCCATTTTCAATAATCACCTTGCATTCTCTTTGCCATGATCCAGCGTCTCCTGGTGGATCCAAGCCAACATAAGCTCCTTTTGCTGAGATATAGTCATCTCCAACATACCTATATCCATTGTTATTACCAAAAGCGAATTAAAGCAAGCAATGTTCATTTGCATATGATAGGACTGCTAAGAGATTAGGATAACTAAGAGATTAAGATAAAAATATTGCTAACTATCTCAAATATGGAATGGTCGTTATTCCTGCAGCAAATGTGGCTAACAATCTCACCTTTGGTATTAAATAATGTATATCAAGTTTCCTAGACCTCAACGACCTGTTTTGAAGAGCTTTCATTGCATTTTGTGCAGCTCTTATATCATAATAGGAAATCATAACAAATCCACGATGCTTGCAAGCAGTATAAGTGGTTCAGACGTCACCATATTGCTGTCACAACAAACAAGAAATTGCATCGACTTTTTATGTGATTCAAAGTCTAAAATGCTTTCTAAGAATTCTGACATAGCATCTATCAGCATAAAACAATAAAGAAGCACCTCAGAGAGAGTCTTTAGCTCAGAATCTTCAACATTGCTGTTAATGTTTCTAACAAAAAATGTTCCAGAAGACTGTTCCCAAAGAGGAAGTTTCCCTTTAAAACCTCCGAAGCAACTAGGATCTTTATCTCGACCATTGGCCCCTTTTCCTATAGTTAGATGTTCATCACCTTCCAACTCCATACCTTCACCATTGCTAAACAGATCAAAATCTTCCAGGTCATCACCAGTTTTGGTAAGAGTATTGAAACCTAAGTCATCAACAACACCAGAAAATAGATCATCTTCATCAGGAAGGAGATTTTGAACGGTGTTAGCCTCAATTTCTTTAATAGATTTATATGGTTCATCATCAAGAAGAGGGAGACATGTCGGAAAGTGAAGAAAGAGGGAGACGACTTGGAAAGTGAAGAAAGATGAAGTTAGGGCATGTGGGCAAAGGATTGGAAAAAAAAAAACAGAAGGGCATTTTTGTTTTTTAACTAACATTTCATAATTCCTATTTGAGATCAGGTCTCTGACATGAATTTTATAAATTCAAGAATCCAAATTATAATTTTGTATATGTTAGGGTCTTTATTTGCGATTTTTTCAAGATTTTACTCCCATTTAAATTGTTCAGTAAATATAAAATAGATCATCTTCATCAGGAAGGAGATTTCCAATGGAACATCAATTTCTTCAATAGATTTGCATGGTTCATCATCAAGAAGAAGGAGATAAGTAGGACAAGTCGGAGAGTCAAAAAAGATGAAGATGACTTGGAAAGTGAAGAAAGATTAAACTAGGGCATGTGGGCAAAGGATTTGAAAAAAGCATAAGGGTATTTTTGTCTTTTAACTAATATTTCATAATTCCTATTTGAGAAAGGGTCTTTGACATGAATTTTATAAATTCAAGAACCCAAATTATAATTTTGTATATTTCAAAGTCTTTATTTACAATTTTTTCAAGATTTTGCTCTCATTGAAGTTGTCCCGTAAATATAAACAATCATAGCAACACCTAACAACAAATAATTCAAAATGACTTTTGCTAAACTAACCTTGCTGAAGAGATTTTATTTAAAATAAAGATAAAAAGATTTAGAAATTACATTGCAGTACTAAAGAAGAAAATTGAAATTATATTTTGATAATAAACTACTCCTCCGATCCTTAATATAAGACCCATTTAACTAATTTGATAAGATTAAGGAAGTTAGGTAAGTTAGTTAATTATAAGAAATATGACACATTTTTTCTAAAATACCATAATTATCTTTCTTAATACCTCATCTTCATTTTCTACTTGATTATAGTGAATGGAATATCCATAGGGGTAATTTAAAGAAAATTGACAAATGTGAGAAATAGGTCTTATATTTAAGAATAAAAATAACTCAATAATTAGGTCCTATATTAAAAAGGGAGAAGTATCAAAATAGCCTTCCTCCATTTTTTCTTTTTTAAATTCCACTCATTGCCGAAGTCTGGGGCATAGCCACCGAAGAATAAATGTCCCAAGAAGTAGCTGGGGAGGTGTTTTGACTCCATGACCCTTGGCTCACCAAAGAAATTTACGAACACCAAACCATTAAACATATTTAATTATATTTGGTCAAAAAAAGCTATTTAATTATATAGTGCGAAAATTTTTTTATATGTAATAAACATAACTTCTTAATTTATACGTTAACAAGCTCTAATAAAAAAATTTAATTATTTATAAGTAAATTTATAAGTGTACATACACCTTTTAACAATTAATAGTAACAAAATAATAAGTTTCTATATAAAAAATTTATACATCCTAATTTAAATTCTTACAGTCAAGCCCTCCTTTTTTTTTTTTTGGGATTCGTATGTCTTGATTGGAACAAGTTATTATAATTCATCCATGTCCACAAATGAGTCAGACATTTTAAACAAATTTTACGAAAAGAGGCTCCTATTTTCATATTTGTTATTTCCTAACTGCATTCCAAACTTTTTTTTATCAAAAAAGAATAGGGTTTCTGAAATTTTTATCTTCTAATTGTATCATCATAAAAAAAAAAAAAACAAGCATGTTGAAGGTGAAAAAAATTACAGTTAATACAAAATTTTATAGGTATTTATAAGTAATACTAAAAATCACTTAAATTTATGACAAATTTCATGCTTTTAACTATTTTTATTAGTATATTTGAATTAGTTAAAAATGACTTGTATGTAGGATCAAAGAGTACAAAGTTTACCAACATGGCTTGGGTTTAGTGGAAAAAACTAGTTCTTTACAACGTGATAAACAAATATTTGAATAACCGTTGAGATGAACGCCCACATTTAGTACCCAACGATGCTTTGAATAAGAATGTTTATGAGACCCAAAAACCTGCAATGCCCACCCAAATACAGTAAAATTTAAGCCCAGCCCAATCTGAAAAAGTAGCATAAACAATAAATGAGTATTTTCGAGCAAGGCCAAATGTCGGGCAAGGCTGGACATCAGGCAAGATATGCCACCCTGCTTATTTGGCCTTGCCTAGAATTTATATATATAATTATATTGAATATATATAATATACATTCATTGTATATAATTGTATTAATATATATATACACACATATGTAATAGGGAGAATCCCAAAAAAAAAAATCTTTGAATTTCAAAATTCCAAATCTATCTTGTGTACTACACTTTAATAGCAATTGACAACATTTGAAACATTCTTGATTTGAAAATTTGAAATTGTAGAGGCTTTTTTTTTTTTGGGGATTTTTCCTATGTAATATTTATATATGGTAGAATTATATATTTCAAGACTTAAATTTTTGACATATTTGATTATGGATGTTGTTTGAAAATCTATCATGTTGTGTTTGATTATATAATTACGAGGAGATATGAAATGATAAATAGATATATGGAGTTTTAGTGTAGTGTTTATATTTCTTCTCTTGAAATATTCTAAATTTTGAAATTATAAAATATATTTAAAAACCAAAATATTATTTACTAGGCTTGCTGGAAATCGTCACATAATAAGAACAAGGTACTAATGCATCACCACTTAGAGTAGGCTTCCCTATCCACCCTGGTCTAAATAACTCGGGCTTTCACAAGGTGGGAACAGGCAATGCGCAAGTTGCCCAACCCTTTTTAATCCCATACATTAGCAATCCAATCAAAATAAAACATATAATCCATCCAAAAGCTAATGGTGGCAACTTGTGCCATATCCTTTAAAGACACTGGCCACATCATATAAACACTATTATATTGTAGTTTCTTATGTAAGAAATAGATCCCATTGCAACTATTTCCTTAGGTAGATGACACAATCTCTTAAACCTCTGGGAAGCTTCAGCAAATCAATGCAAAAATTGTTTTTGTACCCTCATTCACAAGTTTACTAAACTTAATCGCCATTTCTTCTACAATTAACAAAGCTAAGAGGAAGAGACAAAATGGACACACAGCAAAGATAGAATTGAACACCTTGGACATTGAATTTCACAACACCAGAGAACCATGCTTCATTTTTGGGACATAATATCTGAGGCCCCGTAGAACCTTTCAATTATGCCGCAATCGAGAGAAAAACTACTTATGTCAAATGATCCACGAAGTCGAAGTGATCTATCAACAATATCCATGAAATCCCTTGATAGTACATTCCCTCTAACAAAGTGAAGTTTAGGGATGGAGGTCCATATGTATTCCCATCTTTTGGATAATATGCTCGTTCGCACAGCCTCTTCAGTTGGAAGAAATTAAACGAAAGAATGTGTGAAAGAACATATTCAGGTAGTTTACTCAAGCTTCTTACTCTATCATTAATATCTTCCATATCGGTCCAATTCCTCCTCCTCTATTAATTTTTCAGAGAACAAATTTAAAATAAAAATTAAACAGGTATAAAGGATGGTGCGCGAAAACAAAAGTAGGGATAGATTAGGTTCCAAAAGAGGAAAGGTTACCGTAATAATTTCTTTTGAAATTGAATGTTACGGTGAAATAAGAAGCCTAATTATCTTTTATTTCCATATGATATTTCTTACT